CCCTCGACAGCTCCACGAAGGGCCCCCCCTGCCGCATGCATCACCGCCCTCGGGACCCATGGCTCGCGATCCTTAAGGCCGCCCCCCTCGATGACCGTGCGGAGCTGCACGCTCGCTGCCATCTGCAGCTGCAGTGCGTGCGCAGATGCAGCGTGCACTCGCTTGGACACAGCCAAACGCCTGCGGGCCGATGCAATGGACAATTGCAGACGAGTCCGATGCGTGTTGACGCAATGATGCAACGATTGCAGAGGAACGATACCGACGATGCTTTCATACATTTCATAAACACCCCCCACGACACATGGTATGTGTAACCGATGCTGCCAACACGCGAGCCTCATCGCTTCCTGGCCTTCTTAGCCGCGGGCGCAGCAGGCACATCGTCTACCTTGCGCTTGGGCATGAGCGATGCCAGCTGGGCGCTAAGGACATCGCCCTTGTTGATGGCGCACTTGTTTGTCAAAATTGGTACATGCACTGATGGGACAGCTGTAGACTTGACGGTCTTGAGCTTCATGTTGGGGGTGCCGTGCTCACCTGAATCCTGTGCGAGCCAGAAGGGGATGACGAGCGAAGACGGTGCCTGCTTCAGCCCTCCAACGCCAGTGTTCGTCTCAGCCTTAGGCATCTTGATGCCACCACTGGGGGCCAACACGATATTGAACGTCAATCCCTTGGGGTCCTTGTATGTCTTCATGAACACATGCCCACACTGAACTATATCAGTTTGTTTCTTCAAGTAGATTGCCGAAGAGTGGGGCAATCACCAGCTCCTCAGCCTCAAACGAACGCGTTACGGTGAGAGCACGAAGCTTAACAGGCGTAATCACGCCACTCAAGTACTTGAGACAGTTGCCGTTCTGGCTGTATACACCATCCAAGGCCAGCCTGATTTTGGCCTCCTCGGTGCCCCACTGGTAATCGACCGACTTGAGGGGGCCATGGTCAGCGAACTTGTCGATCGCTTCCTCTATGGGGGAGCAGCGGCGAAACAAAGATGATACATGAAGACGCAGAGCCAAATGAGATGAGGGAACGACGAACGAGAATTCAAAGGTGTGGGGGTGCATATGCATTCCACATGCATTGCGACGAGGTCGCAAGACTGTCCTTCATAATCGTGGACACAACGAACTTGCCACGTAAGAAGTCGTCGATGGGGTGGCACGTCGCACTGCCCGTGGCCTGAAGCTTCAACTTCATGCCAGTCGCAGCGTCGATGGAGATCAGCTCGTAAATGTTCTCACCCAAGGTGCCGCTCGCCAAGGCGACTTCGGCGCCGACCTCAAACCCCTTGTCACTGAGCTTGTCCACTTGGTTCGACCACTTGCCCGAAGCGGTGTACTCTTTCACATCTGAGCTGCGCGCCTGCCCTGTCACGGCTTTGGATGCGCTCTCGCGACCGATCTGCTTCCATGGGCTAGCAACTGTTCTGCCAACGTGCGTTGCCAACGCAGCGGCGAAGCTGACCCCGATGCCATTCAGCGTCTTGCAAGTGCCTAAGCGCTCATCGGGCTTGTTGAACACGAAATGAACTACGCGAACGTCAGTAAATCCCACGATGGTGCCGTAGGCGACCGTGTCTGCCGTGATGCCCTCACCGCATGCGATCTGTCGCACTTTCTGAAGAAGTTCATCGGCCACCATTGCAATCGTAGACTTCTTATCGCTCGACAAGGCGGTCATGCCGCCTGGCTTCAAAAGCATCTGATGGCCATCCCTCGCGAACTTACCCGTCGCACATGTCATCGCCTTCATGCATGCGAGCTTGAATGTCGCAGCGGCCCCCTCATGCTTGATCTGCACCTCGGCGAGAGACTTCGCCATTGAACCCGTGACCACGCACTGGGAGGTCAGCTGCCGCGAGAAGTCGCGGAGCTCGCTCAGAAAGATCGGGTTGCCGAGGCCGCCAGACAACTCCTTCACATATCTTACTAAGCCATCGATCTCCCCAGGAAAGAGAGAGCCTGCGCGAGTCGCCTCGCGGATCACACTATCCCAATCGATCATGGTGCCACCCGTGTGGTGTCGGTTGGCAATTGCTGCGATCTTGTACATGCGACTCATGCGAGATTCGCATTTGGCAATTGCTCGGCCTGCATTGCCAGCCTCCTGAGCAAGATTACTAATCCACGGGAGCTCCTTCACGAACTCGTACCGAAAGACCTTCCACTCAATTCCTTCGTCACACGCCTTAGCGTAGTCTGGTTGAACCTCCCGTAACCTTGTCAGTGGCAATTTCCCTTGGCGCGAGATTCTGTCGAAACGCTCTGGCATGACCGTGGGTACTGGAAACCCTGCGTTGATGCAACGCAAACCCATAGATGTGTGGCCGCACGTATAGGATGCGAACTTTGCATCGCAATCATACTGCGGCAGCTGGCCCGCTGAGTCCTCCATTGTTTTGAAATTGAAGTTCTTGATTGTATTGTACTCAGGCGTGCCCACTGGTGGAAGTTCCATGCAAGCTGGATTCTGGAGGGCTGAGTTCTTGAATCCATGTTTGAAGATCTTGGAAATCAAATCCATAACCTCGCTCGGAATGATTCCATCTCCGTAACGATTCTCTGTGC